GTTGCTTAATGCTGTAAAATGGAAGTTAGAGCTGCAACTATCATATCTAGGTTGCTGGAAGTTTAGTAAATAGCTAATTTGGCATTTTCTTAACTTACAGCAACCTAGATATGATAGCTAAGGCAAATTGCCAAATAGACTGCCTGGCTGAGTCAGCCTATTTCAAAGAGCTTCCCTAGAAATCACAGCCAATAACTCCTACCTACATTTCATTAGAAATACAATAAGAAAAGGGAAATTGAGAAATATCTTTGAGCCTGACACATTGTCATCCAACTATTTAGGGGTCTATTACTAAACAAGAAGGACAGTACTTGCATTCTCGCCCACAGTGGAGACATGAGACTTGAGTACTGCTGTTACTCCAGTAATATAAGTTGTTATAGGCACTCTAAAGAATAACTTGGTATTATCTAATAAAATAGTAAATGTGTGTAACCCACAATCCAGTAAATATCCAACTAGGTATATAACCCCACTAGGAAAAATTCATATGCAGATAGAGAGGAAGGTATTCATGTGGGATTACTGTTTACAGTCAAATAAGCAGTTTTGTTGCCAGATATTGGAATCAACTCAGATGATCAAGAGAAGATGAAATGATAAATGAAATAATAAGTAATTACATTGTGAAATATCTATTTGATGAAACAAGGCAAGTAAAATGAATAAACTAGATCTATACATATCAACAGTAGCTTGATTAAACTAAAAAAATTGTCAGATTAAACAAGTTGCAGAATATTGCACAATGTATGGTATTGTTTGTATAATAAAAATACTATGTATTATTTATTAACACTCATACATGTACCTAATTATATAAATTTGGCTTATAAACACATGAAATTCATGATAAAGATTGTCTTTGGTAAAGGAGGAATGAAAATGGAACTGTTGAGGGGAACACAGGAGACATTTAACAACCTGTTTTATTTCCTTTAAAATGTTCAAAAATAAATATAACACGAATTTAAATTTGTTCATTTTGTGACAATTATCAATAAATTATTTTCATATTCCATAAGATAAACATCTAATTAGCCATTAAAAATACTTTATTTCATTTATATATTTTAATCAACAATAAAATTAATATGTTTTGCTTGCATTTTTGCTCAGCTTGATCATGGCTTTAAAAAAATATCCCCAGATTTTATTTTTCTGAAGTTCTTGTTTTGTTTTCCTTTGTTTTGAGACAGGGTCTCACTCTGTCACCCAGGCTGGATTGCAGTGGCACAATCATGGATCACTGCAGCCTCAACTTCCAGGGGTCACACAATCCTCACACCTCAGCATCAACCTCAAGGGGTCAAACAATCTTCCCACCTCAGCCTACCAAGTAGCTGAGACTACAGGCACAAACCAATACATCTGGCTAATTTTTGTATTTTTAGTAGAGATGGGGTTTCAACACGTTGCTCAGGCTGATCTCAAGCTCCTTGGCTCAAGCAATTTGCCCACCTCAGCTTCCCAAAGTGCTGGGATTACAAGGATGAGCCACCATGTCCAGCCTTACCTGGCTATTTAAAATCACCGAAATTTTACTAGTAGGTTGACTAAATTTGCTTAATAATCTTAAATATAATGGTGAGAGAAGAAGACATAGTTAAAATGAATACCAACAGTTGGTAATGTGTTGAGATAAAGAGTGAGCCAATTTTCAGAGAAATGAAACCTTTAAAGCTGTGTTAATTTCTTATGGTTGAAAAACTTTTCCATAATAGTTTTAAGTAATAATTTATGAAATGCTCATGCATTCATTTATTCATTTACCTCCTTTCTTTTTTTATAACGGCTTTTCAGATCTTGAAGTTCCTGATTCCGCTTAGAGTCCAGTAAAGGGCCATATTCCTTCATGTAGTCTATGTCTGCTTGAATCTTTACATTTGCTTCTTCTAATTCTGTCTTTTGTTTTTCAAACTGTTCTAGTTGATTAGCTTTATCTTCAAGATGCCATTGTAATTCTATAACATCTCTCAAATAGGCCTCATGTTCTAGATATAGAAGGATAAGAACAAAAGAAAACCTGATTAAAGGAAATATTTGATAATACATAAATATAAAACATTTTTAACTTCAGGAATTCCTTATCTGTGACTCTTACTACTTCTAAAATAAAAGATAATATAAAACATATCGCTTTCTTAATTCATCATCAAAAGGATTAAAACATACGTTTCATAATAGTTATTTTAGTACAAATCCTGTTTATGTTGTATGATAAATATATATTTTCACTATTCTATAAAGTACTCGACGTAACTGCTTCAAACAGAGAACTGCAAGACTAGAGGCCTTCCAAAACCACCTAGAAGAAAACTGATGAAATAAGTCTTATAAATATCAGAACGAAAAGGCAAAAGTGATTATTATTTTCTTATTGATAGTATTAAATAGAAAAACACACGAAATAGTGAAATGAAAATTATCGCAAATAAGATAGTTTATGTAAAAGTAATATAAAAAATGCTTACCTACACATAGAATATGTTGAAAACAGAACATCTCACAACAGCAAAACTAAAACATAAAGTAAACTACATAAATCTAGCAATAAACCTAACATGAACTGGGCAAAGTCTTTAAGGAGAAAATGACAGAAGGCCAGCTCATAATAAAAAAAAGAAAGTATCTCAAAAAAAAAGAAAAAAGAAAAAAAAATGACAGAATGCTATGAAACAACACAAAAGTGAATTTGAATAAATTAATACATATAATTTTTCTGTATAAAAATATTTATATATAAGGAATTTCCTTATATTAATATATAAATTTGATTAAATCCCAATGAACAGACTGGGAAATTCTTAGAAAAATTACATTAAAAGATTTTCTCATTATATTAAGTTTCTAGCATTAACTGAATCTTACATTATTGGAATAAAACTAAGTGGGCTGGTTTATTTTCTTTTTAATCTGTTTAAAATAAATATTTTGATGGAATTTGATGTCTTTACTTGGGATTTTTTGCATTTACACTTGCAATTTTGCCCCGTAAGTTTCTATATTTGTACGTATGATTTATAATTTACAATGCTTCTTATATCAGCTGTAGTTTCTTTTGACTTCTTTTCTCTAAGATGTTGTGGAAGTTTGAAATTGCATATTAAGCCCCATGGTCCTACGTATATATTTATTTATTTTGTGGGGAAGGATTTTTAGTTATTGGGTGAAAATCATTCCTTTAATGACTATATACATATTTTGGTTATTTATTTATTCAGCAACCCATTTTTCCCTGTAAAGTTCTTTAGTTTGTCAAAGTTTCAATGATATTCAAAGAAATTTGTTCTTAATGTTGTCATCACTATTAATCACTGCTACATCCCTATGTATTTTCATTCCTGATCTGAATCATTTATACATTCTCACTGTTTTTTATTAACTTTGCCATTCGTTTTACATTATGCTCTTTTTAGTGAGCTAACTTCAGCTTTACATCTCTCCTGCACATTATATATTTTTATTATTTTACTATTTTGTTATTGGATTTCTCCCTTTTCCTTTTTTTTTTTCCTTTGCTTTTTTTCTGACTTCTAAACTCACATACTTTGATAATTAAGTCCCTGTTTTTGATGTAGCAAAAGCTACTGATCTCTCTTTAATGATTTGGATTTTTCCATACATGTAACAATAATTTTAATACTTTTTAATGAAATACTTTTAAATATTTTTTATTTTATTGATACATGCAATTTTGATAACATCTTTTCTTTGTTTTTTTACCCTCACCAACTAGAGAGTAAGACTTTTGTTCTAAAGAGTCAGACATTACCTTGTTAAATATTGCCATTATTACTTCCATGAAGATCTTCTATTAAATATTCATGATGACCTCTCATTCTATATTCCATGCATTTAAATATTTTATTTGTATTTTTCTTCTCCTTGTCTTGCTATGATGCATTCCATGCAATTTATTATTTATTTATTATCCTTTAAGTTCTGGGATACATGTGCAGAACGTGCAAGTTTGTTACAGAGGTATACACGTGCCATGGTGGTTTGCTGCACCCATCAACCCTTCATCTACATAGCATTTTTCCTAATGCTATCCCTCTCCTACTCCCCCACCCCCTGGCCCCCGTGTGTGATGTTCCCCTCCCTACGTCCATGTGTTCTCATTGTTCAACTCCCGCATGTGAGTGAAAATATACAGTGTTTGGTTTTCTGTTCTTGTGTTAGTTTGCTGAGAATGATAGTTTCCAGCTTCATCCATGTTTCTACAAAGGACATGAACTCATCTTTTTTATGGCTGTATAGTATTCCATGATGTATATGTGCCACATTTTCTTTATCCATTTTATCACTGATGGGCATGTGTGTTGGTTCCAAGTCTTTGCTATTGTGAACAGTGCTGCAATAAACATATATGTGCACGTGTCTTTATCGTAGAATGATTTATAATCCTTTGGGTATATACCCAGTAATGGGATTGCTGGGTCAAATGACATTTCTAGTTCTAGATCCCTGAGGAATCATGAGACTGTCTTCCACAATGGTTAAACTAATTTACACTCCCAGCAACAGCGTAAAAGCGTTCCTATTTCTCCACATTCTCTCTAGTATCTGTTGTTTCCTGGCTTTTTAATGATCATGAGATGGTATCTCATTGTGGGTTTGATTTGCATTTCTTTAATGACCAGTGATGATGAGCTTTTTTTCATATGCTTGTTGGCCACGTAAATGTCTTCTTTTGAAAAGTGTCTGTTCATATCCTTTGTCCATTTTTTGATGGGGTTGGTTTTTTCTTGTTAATTTGTTTACGTTTTTTTCTAGATTCTAGATAGTAGCCCTTTGTCGGCTGGATATATTGCAAAAATTTTCCCCATTCTGTAGGTTACCTATTCATTCTGATGATAATTTCTTTTTCTGTGCAGAAGCTCTTTAGTTTAATTAGATCCCATTTATCAATTTTGGCTTTTGTTGCCATTGCTTTTGTTGTTTTAGTCATGAAGACTTTGTTCCTTAACAATACTGTTAACAGTATTGCCTAGCTTTTCCTTTAGGGTTTTTATGGTTTTAGGTCTTATGTTTAAGTCTTTAATCCATCTTGACTTAATTTTTGTATCAGGAGTAAGGAAGGGGTCCAGTTTCAGTTTTCTGCATATAGCTGGCCGGTTTTCCCAACATCATTTATTAAATAGGGAATCCTTTCCCTATTGTTTGTTTTTGTCAGGTTTGTCAAAATCAGATGGTTATAGATGTTTGGCATTATTTCTGACGCCTCTGTTGTGTTCTATTGGTCTATATATCTGTTTTGGTACCAGCACCATGCTGTTTTTGTTACTATAGACTTGCAGTATAGTTTGAAGTCAGGTAGTGTGATGCCTCCAGCTTTGTTCTTTCTACTTAGGATTGTTTTGACTATATGGGTTCTTTTTGGTTCTGTATGAAATTTAAAGTACTTTTTTCTAATTCTGTGAAGAAAGTCAATGGTGGCTAATAGGGATAGAATTAAATCTATAAATTCCTTTGGACAGTATGGCCATTTTTATGACATTAAAATTTCTTCAAATTTTACAGTTTACTATTACTTCTCTTTGAGTCTCATAAACAATGTAAACAATTATTAAATTAATTTTAAGTAATATATTTTTCATTTGTGTATTTTGCTTTCTTTAAAAAAGTTTCTTGTCCTTGCTTTTATTTTTAAACTTCTCTTTTTCTTTCTTGAAATGTATCCAATACTTATTTTATAATCTCAGAAATAATCCTACATCTGATACATTTTGAGTAAAATTCTGTGGTCTGTTTCTACTGATTCATACCCATTGACCCTGGAGCTTTGTGTGTTTTACAATATCTAATATTGAGCAACTTCTGTTCTTGGAACTTAATCTGAGACAAATTTTTCACGTCTGGGTTGAAATTTTAGTCTTGCAGAGCAAATTTACCTTTGATCTTATCAGTTGCCTGACTTTACTACTAACCTACAGAACATTTAAATGACAGCCTCCACTTAACAATTTTTAAGCATAATGACAGCAGGAATTGAGGAGTCACAAATCTATTTGAGATTAGCAAATTACAAATACTCAGGAAGCATTGTTTTTCTATATTGTATAAGTGAAAGACGCAAGTTTATTAGTTGTTGAATCTGAGCCACAGATTAATTCATGGTTTACTCTTAGGCTGCCATTAAGAAGACCTTTGGATTCTCATTTCTATGTCCTGATCTCTAATTAGACTTGTCCCTTTCAGTGAGACTTAATTTCCAGTATCCTGTACCCTACACCTACATCAAAATTGTAACTCAAGGATTTTAAGGATTCCCCCAGGGCTATGTCTGACACTGATGTCTATTTATTTCCAGAAATTTCCATTCCAAACTTTAAATTTCAAATCATTTAAAACACACTGACAAGTTGTCAAGAACATAAGAAATGCAGTTGGCCATGCTGCATTTCTTACATTCTTGACAACTTGTCAGTGTATTTTAAATTATTTGAAAAATTAAACTACATGAGCAAATCTGACAATTGAAATAACTTTGATATTATTGGTTTATTTTCTGAATTAATAGTTAAAATCAACACCCTGTTCTCAACAACTCAGTAAACAACTAGCCAAAAAATTCTTAAGGAGATAAAACACTTGAACACAACTATCAACCAAATTGACCTGATATTTATAGAGGGACTACCCAGCAACAGGGGAATATATATTAATTTGAACAAAACAGAACATTCTTCTGGACAGATAAAATTTTAGAAAATTTATAAACTATAAATAATTTAAATATTAATGAAACATTTAGAAAATGTTTCTATGACCTTATAATATAATTTGAAGTTGGGTAATTTGATGCCTCCAGATTTGTTCTTTTTGCTTAGTCTTGCTTTGGCTATGCGGACTCTTTTTTGGTTCCATATGAATTTTAGGATTGCTTTTTTCTAGTTCTGCAAAGAATGATGGCAGTATTTTGATGGGAATTGTATTGAATTTGTAGATCGCATTTGGCCATATGGTCATTTTCACAATATTGATTCTACTCATCCACGAGCATGGGAGGTGTTTCCATATGTTTGCATTGTCTACGATTTATTTCTGTAGTGTTATGTAGTTTTCCGTGTAGAGTTCTTTCACATCCTTAGTCAGGTATGTTCCTAAGATTTTTGTTTGTTTGTTTTTTGTTTTTTGTAGCAGCCATTGTGAAAAAGTTTCCCGATTTGATTGTCAGTTTGGCCGCTGTTGGTGTAGAGCAGAGCTACTGATTTGTGTTCATTAATTTTGTACACAAAATTATTATCCTGAAACTCTGCTGAATTAATTTACCAGTTCTAGGAGTTTTTTGGATGAGCCTTTAAGGTTTTCTAGGTATAGGATCATGTCATCAGCAAACAGCAACAGTTTGACTTCCTCTTTTCCCATTTGGATGTCCTTTATTTCTTTCTCCTGTCTGATTGCTCTGACTAGGACTTCCAGTACTATGTTGAATAGAAGTGAAAATGGGCATCCTTGTGTTGCTCCTATTCTCAACTTTTCTCCTATTCAACTTTTCTCTGTTCAGTATAATGCTGAAACAGCATGGTATTGGTATAAAAACAGACACAGACAAATGGAACAGAATACAGAACCCAGAAATAAAGCCAAATACAGCCAACTGATCTTCAACAAAACAAACAAAACAACATAAAATGGGAAAGGACACCTTATTCAACAAATGGTGCTAGGATAATTGGCAAGCCACATGTAGAAGAATGAAACTAGATCCTCATCTCTCACCTCATACAAAAATCAACTCAAGGTAGATCAAAGACTTAAATGTAAAACTTGAAACCATAAAGATTCTACAAGATAACACTGGAAAAACTCTTGTAGACAATGGCTTAGGCAAAGACTTTGTGACCAAGAACCCAAAAGCAAATTCAGCAAAAATAAATTTAAATAGATGGGACTTAATTAAACTAAAAAGCTTCTGCTCAGGAAAAGAAATAATCAGCCAAGTTAACAGACCGCCCACAGACAGAAAGAAAACTTTCACAAACTGTACATCCAACAAAGGACTAATATCCCAAATCTACAAAGAACTCAAACAAATCAGCCAGGAAAAAAAAATCCATCAACAAATGCACTAAGGACATGCGTAGACAATTCTCAAAAAAAGATATACAAATAGCCAATAAGCATATGGAAAAATGTTCAACATCACTAATTATCAGGGAAATGCAAATAAAAGCCACAATGTGATACCACCTCACTCCTGCAAGTATGGCCATAGTCAACAAATGAAAAAAATATATAGATGTTGGCATGAATGCACTGAAAAGGTAACACTTTTACACTGTTGGTGGGAATGTAAACTAATCCAGCCACTATGGAAAACAGTGCGGAGATTCCTCGAAGAACTAAAAGTAGATCTGCCATTTGATCCAGCAATTCCATTACTAGGTATCTACCCAGAGGAAAAGAAGTATACAAAAAAGATACTTGCACATGCATGTTTACAGTAGCACAATTTGCTATAAAATGCCAAAATATGGAACCAGCCCAATGCCCATCAATCACCAAGTGAATAAAGAAAATGTGGTATACATATGCCATGGAATGTTACTTATCCATAACAAGGAATAAAATAATGGTATTCACAGCAACCTGGATGAAATTGGAGACTATGAGTCAATTCTAAGTGAAGTAACCCAAGAATGGAAAACCAAACATTGTATGCTCTCACTCATAAGTGGGAGCTAAGATATGAGGACTCAACGGCATAAGAATAATACGCTGGACTTTGGGAACTTGGAGGAAAGGTTGCAGGGTGGCAAGGTTGTGGGGTGGCAAAAGGCTACATATTGCACAGAGTATACATTGCTCAGGTGATGAGTGCACTGAAATCTCAGAAATCACCACTAACGAACTTATTCATATAACCAAGCACCACCTGTTCCCCAAAAACCTAATTAAATAAAAATAAATTTCTTAGCACAATTAAATTAGACATGACAGAAAGAAACCTGAAATAGTTATGAAAATTTCAAAATAAATACAAATCAACCTGCAACTTCTAATTAAATAATAGGTTTCATACGAAATCAGAGATATTTCAAAAAATGTTTGAACTAAATAAAAATGAACTAACAACCTATGAACACTTATAAAATGCAACTAATGAAGCTCTGAGAGGAAAATTTACAGCTTTTAACTGATAATTCCAGAAAGAAAGGCATCAAGTAAATAATCAAAGCTTCTAATCTATAAAAAGAGAAATATAGTAGGTTTAAATTATTCCCAAAGCAAATAAGATAGGGGAAATCAGAGGAAAAAATAAATGATATAAAACTGAAACATAGTACAGAAATCAATAAAGGCAAAAGTGGACTTTTTAAAGAGATCAGCAAAATTGACAACTCTTTAGCTGCAATGATCAAGAAATAAAGAGACAACACACAAATTACCAAAAATAGAAAGGAAAAAGATACTATCACTACCACTATTACAGAAATTAAGTATAAGAGAATTTCATGAAAAAATTTAGGCCAGCAAACTAGATAACTACAATGAAGTGGACAAATTCTTCAGAAGATATAAATTACTAAAATTGACTCAAGAAGCAACAAAAAAATGGAAGAGACCTTGATACGTTTTGGCTGTGTCACCACCCAAATCTCAACTTGAATTATATTTCCAGAATTTTGACATGTTGTGGGAGGGATCCAGGGGAAGGTAAATGAATCTGGAGGTCTGGCCTTTCCCATACTATTCTCATGACAGTGAATAAGTCTCACAGGATTTGATGGGTTTATCAGGTGTTGTTTCTGCTATTGCTTCTTCCTCATTTTTCTCTTGCTGCCATCATGTAAGTAGTAACTTTTGCCTCCCACCATAATTCTGAGGCCTTTCCAGCCATGTAGAACTGTAACACCATTAAATCTTTTTTTTCCCCCAGTCTCAGGTATGTCTTTATCAGCAGCATGAAAATGAACTAATACAGTAAATTGGTACCAGGAGTGGGTGTTGTTGAAAAGATATCCAAAAATGTGGAATCAACTTTGGAACTGGGTAACAGGCAGAGATTTAACGGTTTGGACAGCTCAGAAGAAGACAGGAAAATGAGGGAAAGTTTGGGACCTCCTACAGACTTATTGAGTGGCTTTGACAAAAATGCTAATAGTGATGCAAACAATAAGGTCCAGGCTGAGGTGGTACCAGACAGAGATAAGAAATATGTTGGGAACTTGAGCAAAGGTGACTTTTGTTATGTTTTAGTAAAGAGACTGGCGGCATTTTGCCCCTGCCCTGGAGATGTATGGAACTTTGAACTTAAGAGAGATGATGTAGGGTATCTGGCAGAAGAAATTTCCAAGCAGCAAATCATTCAAGAGGTGACATGTGTGCTTTCAAAAGCAATCCATTTTAAAAGGGAAACAGCATAAAAGTTCAGAAAATTTGCAGCTTGACAATCCAGTAGA